GCATCTAAAGTCCTCAGGACATGCTGAGCCTGCCCTCAGGGAGTGAGTCCAGGAGAGCTTGGGTGGAAGACACTCAGTCACTCCAGAGGAAAAATGTTAGTAGAGGTGATGACTACCTTGTCAGGGAGGTGTGGCTGGGAAAATCCATTCATCAGGAATTACAACCTTCACACCTCCACATCCAGACAAGAACCAGGCTTCCTGCTGGGGACACTGGCACAGCCTAGGAGCAGTGTAGACAGTTTATAAAATGACAGAGAAAGGACAGTGTCTGTACTAGCCCTGCCCCTGAGGCCCCAGGGAACCATAACCACATGGACCTGCATGAATTATTTCTAGAATGAAGAGAAAAATTGGAGACTCTTTCACTCATTACCATAAGGCTCTGTTGTGAATATAACAGTAAATAAAACTCAGTTCTGGTTCTAGAGAGCTTCTGTACCCTACCTGGTTTGGTCGGTACCTAACAAGATTCAAATCCATAGAGACCAAGGAGCCCGTCTCCCTATGTAAGGGAAGGAGGGTAAACACTTCGTCCAGAATCAAGGCCAAATTTTGTCCTCACACAAAGAAGAGCAAAGTTCTATAGTAAAATAGATATGTGTGTAGGTGTGTGTGTATTCAGTCCTTACATACCTACACCACCTCAGTCTTTAGGACAAAGATGTCTCTCATTTGGCCGAGAAGTATCCACGTGGATGGACCCATTGTAAGTTTACTGGGAAAATCAGCTTTTGTTGTGAAAGTAATGATCTAGGTGGAACACATCTTCTTAGATAATAGGGAGAATACATAAATGAAAACAAAGAAACAAACAAACAAAGGAAGTAAAAGCGAAGAGGAACGTTCAGAAAATGAAAATTTCTGCGTTCCCCACTGAAAAGCCATGCTGGGAAAGCCTGTCTTCAGAGAACCTCGGCTCCCGAGTTCACCAGACGCCCAGCCCGGCCAGACCAGCAGCAGCCTCGTCTTCCCCATGGCCCTCCTGCACACTCTGCTCCCCGCCCTGCGGGTGCTCACCTGCGGCCCTGAGGGCTCTCAGGGCTGTGCCCTGCCTCGGAGCCACGCGCTGGTGAGCAGGGAGCACTTCGCGCTTCTGAGCCACGTAAGGAGACTGTCCCCTTTCTTCTGTCTGCAGGACAGAAACGCCTTCAGATTCCCGCGGGAGATGGTGGAGAGCAGCCAGCTGCAGAAGGCCCAGGCTACGCCCGTCCTCCAGGAGCTGCTCCCGCCCACCTTCAACCTCTTCCTCACGGAGCACGCCTCGGCTGCCTGGAGCTCCCCCTGCTGGACCAGCTGCGTTCTGGCCTCCATCGGCGGCTGCCAGACCTGGACACCTGTTTGCTGCGGGCTGTGGGACAGGAAGATTGTGCCCTGGGAATGGACCGCCCGACACTGGCCCTGAAGAGGTACTTCCGGGAAATCTGTCTCCTGGAAGAGAAGAAGTACAGCGACTGCGCCTGGGAAATTGTCAGAGCGGAAATCATGAGATCCTTGTCTTCATCCGCCAACTTCCAAGATAGGTTAGGAATTAGGGAAGGGACCTGGGGTCATCTTGAAATGACTCTCACGGACAAATTTGCCATATCCCGCCCCGCACCTACGTCTGGTCACCACTGCAAGGGGCTCTCATTTCTGCCTTAGTAGAGAAGTTATTGAATTTAATTCAGCAAATATTTCGTGAATAGTATGAAGCAAGAATATGTTAAAAAGGGGCACCTGGGTGGCTCAGTCATTAAGCGTCTGCCTTCGGCTCGGGTCATGATCCCAGGGTTCTGGGATTGAGCCCCGCCATCGGGCTCCCTGCTCGGCGGGAAGCCTGCTTCGCCCTCTCCCACCCTCCCCTGCTTGTGTTTCCTCTCTCGCTGTCTCTCTCACTGTCAAATAAATAAATAAAATCTTAAAAAAAATGTTAAAAAATCCAGCTTCAGGATCATTAATTCCTAAGAGATGACTGCCCTGATACTTTCTGGCTCATTCATTCATTCATTCATTTCTTCTTGCACCTATCATATTTATAGATCAGAAATGATATATAACGAAATGTTTATCTTTTCACTGCATTAAAATTTACAAAATGTATTTACCTTTTCATGTTATTAAATTTGCACTTTGTTTTATATATGAAATACTTACCAAGAAAACTTACTGGATTGTTCTAAAATCCAAATCCAAATCGTTTTGTAAATGTTATTGAAGAACAGATAGTAAAATTTATTTACTCATTCATTCCATTCAGAGTATATGTCAAAATAGAGTATCCAAATGACAAATGTGTAATTGTGGTCGAGAACTAGAGGTGAACTGGGGCACCTGGCTCGTTCAGTCAGAAGAAAGGCAGCTCTTGATCTCAGAGTTGTGAGTTCAATCCCCACGGTGGGTGTGGAGATTACTTAAAAATAAAATCTTAAAAAAAAAAAATGGGAAAAAGGGCACCTGGGTGGCTCAGTCAGTAAGCCTCAGACTCTTCATTTTGGCTCAGGTCATGATCTCAGAGTTGTGAGATCAAGCCTCAGGTCAGGCTCCACACTCAGCAGAGAGTCTGCTTGAGATTCCTCCCTCTGCCTGTGTACCCTCCTCAAATAAATAAATAAATAAATAAATAAATAAATAAATAAATAAAATATTTTTTTAAAAAATAAAAAAAAACTAGAGATAAATAAAGCACATGTAGTTCTTTCTGTGTTGAAACTTAGTCTCACAGGGAGGGATACATAAAAATGGTACTAATGTTTATTTCATTTTCAATTATGTTAAAAACTACAAAGAGAAGCAAAGGAAAATGATGTTCTTACACAAGCAACTTTATTTTTATGTATTTATTTATTTTTAGAGCGGGAGAAGGGGGTAGAGGTGGAGTGAGAGGGAGAGAGTGAATCTCAAGCAGGCTCCACACCCAGCGCAGAGCCTGACCCAGGGCTCCATTTCACAATCCTGAGATCATGACCTGAGTCAAAATCAAGAGTCAGACACCTAACTGACTGAGACACCCAGGCATCCCTACACAAGAAGCTTTAGATACAAATGACGCTGGAAAGGAAAAATAATATTAGATGTCCTTTCTAAGGTGCCTGGGAGACATATAAATGCAGAAGTCTTACTGGCATTTGGGAATGTGGGTCTAGAATTTATAGGAATGCCATGAGGGAGGTGTCAATTTGCGATTCCTTATTGAGTATCTGCGAATGAGGGCAAGGGAATGGATGTAGTCATTTTCTAAGTAGAGAGGACAATGAGAAGAGGCCCAAATGTAGTCTTGCAGACCCTCAACATTTAACGGGCAGGCAGAGGAAAGTCTGCAAGGGCACTGAGGCAGGAGGGGCCAGTGCAGTTGAAAGGTCACATGGGGACAAGACTCCGAAGGGAATACGGGTCAGAGTGTTGCTTGTGGGGCAGGTGTGGATGAACTGTCCCAGTGGACCTGCAAGCAGACCCCACTGGTGACCTTAGCATGGTTCTAGTTTAGTGGAATTAATGGGGCAGAAACCAGATAGGTGTAGGTTGAAGAGGAAACACAAGAATGAGAATTAGGGATACCATGTATAGAAGATTATCCCTCTAAGCTTGTTTGTGGAGGAGAGAAATAAGGTGTTACTTCCGGGAAAATGTGGGTTAACATCTCTGTGTTTAAGCAATTGTCACAGTGGTAATCAGCAGGTGCTTTCTCTTCATTAACAAACCTGTAAAGAAAACTAAGGAAGGGGCGCCTGGGTGGTTCAGTTGGTTGCGTATATGCCTTCGGCTTGGGTCATGATCTTTGGGTCCTGGGATTGAGCCCCACGTCGGGCTCCCTGCTACGAGGAGAGTCTACTCCCCCACCCTCGACTTGTGCTTTCTCTCTCAGATAAATAAATAGGATCTTAAGAAAAAAACAAAACCCATCTTTTTTTTTTTTGACCAAAAAAAGATATTTATTGAATAGTTACCCACCACTGGAGTTGACTTAGACATGGAGGGTGTCTCCACCTTCCTGATTTATTTTCAGCCCTTGAGGGCATCATTGTAGATCAAAGCCAAAGCTCCCAGGAAGGTGACATATTCCTGGAAGTTCACCACCTGGTCCTTGTTCCGGTCCAGGTCGTCCATCAGCTTTGCAATGTCAGCATCCTGCAGCTTCGCACCAATGGTGAGCTCTTTCTGGATCAGCTCCTTCAGCTCCTTCTTGCTCAGAGTGTTCTTGTCATCTTCCCTGCCCGAGTATTTATGGAAGATGGCCACGAGGCCAATGGTCTGATCCAGGGGGCACGCCATGGCTGGGCACTGGGCTCAGAGCGCTTGACCGGGAGAGCGTCCAGGGACCCACAAAACCCACCTTTTATTTGGGAAAAAAAAAAAAAAGAAAACTAAGGAAAAACGGAAGAGAACTAGGCTCTCACAAAACAGCAACAAATGATTTTATACAAAGTCCAGGTGGTTATGCATTTTAGAAGGTGCGCTACCAACCGAAAACTGAAACCTGGAATCAATAATAGTGACCTTAAGAGCAGAGAAATATGAATTATCTGACAGGTTTAAATTTGCTTTTACATATTTTATTTTGCGCTTGGTATTTATATTTTATAGAACAATGTTTTCATTACCATGTATAATAACTTTATTTTGTAACAATGCATGCAATTTTTAAAAAAGATTTTATTTATTTATTTGTCAGAGAGGGAGTGAGAAAGAGAGGGAGGGAGCGCACAAGCAGGGGGAGCGGAAGGCAGAGAGAGAGGCGGACTCCCTGCTGAGCAAGGAGCCCGATGCAGGACTAGATCCCAGGACCCTGGGATGATGACCTGAGCTGAAAGCAGACACTTAACTGACTGAGCCACCCAGCTACCCCAATGCATGGAATTTCTCAAAAGTTATGTGTTCATGTGTTCAATTTTTGTATCTGAGTCAATGAAAACATAAAGTGCAAGAGAGGTGATGTTTTTCCGGGAGAGACCTACACGAGAACCCAGGAACACTTATATTTCCCAGACTGATTCTGGGGTGGAATCTCAGTGAAGCATTTTTGTTCAAGACCAATAGATACATTAAGTTCTTAGGATGAGGGAGAATCTCCAGGCACTTAACATAAATGCTGTAACAAAATATTCTAGCTCTAAGAGAGCTCTAAATGTATTTGAAGATGAAGATTGAACTCACTTAAAGGCAAAAATAGATGGCTCATTTTGACAACTCCAAGAATGTTACCACCACCTGAGAGGTTTCTCCCATACCAGAGATGCTGTAGCATGGAATGGCCTCCCCTGATACTCTGAAATCTCAGAGAACATGGGCAGACTACTAGAAAAATCTCCCCGAGTATCTTCAGCATCTACAAGCGGTGGCCTTCAAAGGTTGTCAGTTCATGTGCAGTGCTTAATCACTACCACTCCTGCCAAGATCCTGATACTCCTCATTTATTTGTATTTATTCATTCATTCATTCATTCATTCAACAACACATAATTATTATGTGTTGTACATAAAGACACAGGAGGAAAAAAAGCTTATTAGGTAGCAACAGAAGCAGAAATTACTAACATGGGAAAATTCATTCACTCTCTTTCTTATCTTAGGGACTCTCTCCAAAGAAAATCCTGAATTTGTCTGATTGATTCTTTATCCTGTGTGTTCAGGATGATGCATTGCCTAGAAAGAAAAGCAGAACTGGAAAGAAGCTAAAGCAAGCCAATGGGATTTTTATGTTGGACAGGAAGGAATATTTTGGGCAAAGAAGTAGGAAGAATGGATCCAAAAGAGCAAGGGTATGCTCGGTGTGCTCACCTGTGCCCTGGGCAGGAGACCTTATGTCTGTCTTTTTCCTTGAACTAAAATAAGGTGACCTCCCCAGGTTAGTGTTGATATATACAAAACATAGGATATTTCTTGAAGTAAAGTTTGTAATTATTATCTTGAGGAAGGTATATGTGTGTGGGCAGAGGGGATGACAGAAAAAATGGAGTAAACGTTAGGCCTGGTGGAAGAAGCAAGATTTGCAAGGATTGTGAATTATGAATTAATATTGAGTTTTTTAAATTAAAATCACACTGAGTTAGAGAAAATTTCTTATTGATGGCTAAATTTTGACTTAAAGAATATTTTGATTTCTGAGTATTACACTTTCCCCACTTACTAAGATAAAGTAGATGAATCAATAGTAAGTATAATCTCCCTCCCCCAGCTTCCTCATCCTTATCCCCAAAGCTGTTGACTGGCCCTTTGCTGGAGTAAGTCAAAGAATGAGTAGCCCCCATTTTTATTGTAACAGTTTGGGAACATGGACCAGTAAAGAGCTGGACATGCTTTTATAGACAAGAACTAGAAAAGGAGACTGTGCATAATAAAATTGCACAGCTTGAGTCATAGACCTGGCAAGCTCTCAGCTGATGTATATCGATCTCATTCTGATACTGCTTCTTATTTAAACGATTCCTTCGGTCATATCTACAAAAGAAAGATGGAAATATGTCCAGGCAAGCTGAGGTTTAGGAAGCACCATGGAATAGCACATGTGTTTACAGCCACATCCATCCTAAGTGAGGCAATGCTTAGTATAGGAGAACAATGTCGAGAGAATGGGTTGGAGAATGGGGGGATGTAGTCAATGCCACTTGACTATTTAGAAGGTCAACAAATAACCTTGGTTGAAACATCTGTGAACACTGGGAGAAT